AGGACAAATGGAAAAGCTGTACAAACAGTAGTTGTCACAAAGAGTAGTTTTCTTAGTTTACCTAAGCTCTAAGGGGGGAGCTGGGGCCTCTGTGAGCCTCGGACGCGGGAGGAGAGGGTGCTGGTTCCCAAACCATGTGTTAGGGGCTGGCAGGGGAAGGAGCTAACTTGCATTTAAATCTGGGCTGGGTGCCGTGCAGACCGCAGTCCTTGCCCCTGAGGCTGCCTGGATTGGTCTAACAAGCAGAATTTTACCAGTCCTTTCTCAATGGTGCCAGGGAGGACACAGCCTGGCGGGTCAAGAGGAACTCTGAAGGATAATAGGATTTGTGATGGGAGGGTCTTCAGCCTGGGCAGAGGTGACGCTTGAGGGAGGGGAACAGCCCTGCGGCCATGGCCAGGCCAGATGGTTAAGGGGACGGTTCAGGATTCTCCCACAGCCCACCTGCAAGGCTCCGGAGAAGCTTTGCAGGGGGCAAGGGGGAGGGTGCCATCAAGGGCATTGGGGGCAGGGCACCTGTATGAAGGAAGGTGCACATAGGTGCTGTGTCGTTGGCAGCCCGGAGGAAGGGACCAGCTGTGAAACTGGGGTAGTTAGTAGGTGTTGGCCAACAGCCCAGGGGAGGGGTACCGCGGGCCTGACTTGGAGCATGCGTTAGAGTGGCCCAGCCTCGGATGGGCCTAGGCCGGGGGCCGGGGGTCAAAAACTCCTGCTTCCCAGCCCTGGGACAGGTGGGTGACCACGTCCCCCTGCAGTGCCCCGAAAGGAAGATCTGGTGTCGCAGGGCTGGGGTGGAGAGGGGGACGCAGCTGGGCTGGACTTTGCAGGATTTGGGAGAGGGAGAGAGCCAGCCTCCCAGTAGCTCACCCACTACTCCAGACACGTGTGTGTCCCCTCTCCCCATTCCCTCCAAGGCAGGGCCCCTCCGGAGAAGTTCTGACCACCGCTGACACTTAATCTTACTGAGCCTGAGGGGAGCGACCTGTCCACCGAAGTTGTCGCTGAGACCCTGTCCACAGTCAGAGGGACGCCCATCAGCAGGAACCAAAGGCAGGTGCTGTGGAGAGGAAAGCATCAGCCCCCTTTGGGAGGCCCGGCACCTGTGGGCCACATAGTCCTGCCATGCTTGCTGATCTAGAAGGCAGCCTCGGGCCCTCACCGAGGCAGCCCGTGGGAGAAACCGTGGCATGAGGCCTGCCTCTCTCATCCAGGTGGGCCGAAAACTGTCCAGGGTTCTTCTGTCCTGCTGAGAAGTAGGCCTTTGAGAAGGTAAGACCATCAGTAACTGTTCACAGATGAGGAGACCGGGATAGAGGAGATGGCTTGCCTAAGGGACCCGTCATAGCTGGACTGGGACAGGGGAGGAAGACTGACCCCAGGCAGGCCTCAGGACACCAGTGGGCTCTTGAAATGTCAGTAGTGCTATTCACCCCACTCCTCCCAGGCTGGCCCTGGGCTTGGAAGCGACTGAGCTCCCACCTGTGTGTCTCCATCAGGGCCGCGCCCTCCCCCTCCCCAGGCACTTCCTCAGTGGCCACCTGCTGCCACCAGGAGGCCCCAGCTTGTGGGCAGGAGAAGGCTAGTCCTAGGAGAGCCCTTCATGGGCATCACGCCCACCTCTTTTGTTCAGAGGTGAGTGAGAACTGAGGCCCAGAGAGGGAAGTGACTTGCCCGAGGTCACAATGCTTGCTAGGGGCAGGGTGGGGACCAGAGCCCTTGGCTGCTGACCCCAAGAGTCCCCTCCCTGTTCTTTCTCCCTTCCCTCCTGTCTCCACATTTTCAAGCTTGGAACTCAGGCTCTCAGGTGAGCTCTGGAGGAGCTGGTTCTTCCTAGTGTGGCTCTTGAACTTTGACCTCACTCATGGCTCCTTGTGCAGAGACATCTGGCCACACGGAGGGGCAGCGGCTGGACAGACAGGAGGCTGGACCTGCAGGGGGCTGGGCTGGGAGGGAGGGGCCCTTGGGAGCTGCCCCTGGGACCTGAGCAACTGGGTTTGGGGTTATGAGGGCTCAGCCTTGAGGATGCCCACAAGGGGCCCTTCTGGCTTCCAGACTGGCCCCAAAGAGCCACCCTCCTCTGCTTATTTGTGTCCATAGGGTGTGCACCTAGCAGGTCACCGCTGTGCTTGGGAAGCGTGAGTGCGGTGCTGGGGAGAAGCACAGGGAAGCAGCTCCGGGCAGCCTGTCGAGGCTGGGAAAACGGTCTTGCTGCAGCCACGCAGACCCAGCTGCTCCGCTCCCAGTTCCTGACTCTGAGGCGTCTGTCCGCGTCCTTTAATACAATAAAACCAATCTCTGTCAGTAAAACACCATGGAATGAAATCAATAAATTACTCTTCCAGTGGCAGGTGGATGTGGGTCAGTTCCCCAGCTCCAAAGCTGACATTCAGCACACAATCATCAACACAACAAAAATAGTTCTCTAAAGCATGAATCTTTATTTAAAAAAATCTGGTTCGGGGTGCCTGGGTGGCTCAGTCGGTGAAGTGTCTGCCTTCGGCTCCGGTCACGATCCCAGGACCCTGGGATCCAGTCAGGCTCTGCGGAGAGCCTGCTCCTCCCTCTGCCTGCTGCTCCCCTGCCTGTTGTGCTCTCTCCCTGTCAAATAAATAAAGAAAATCTAAAAAAAAAAAAAAAGAAAAGGTCCGCCTCTTTAGGGAGGGGTTACTGTCAGGGGTACTTGTGTTCCTGAGTCCTGGGGCCACTTCTCGGTAGAGCGAGGTGGGCGCTGGCTGCTTCAGGCCTCGTCTTCTGGAATCCCCGAGGCAGCTCCTCGAGGCAGCGCGGTCTGGCGTCTCCCAAGAACTCCCGCCATGCCTTCCCGGCTCATCTGTGCTTCTGCCAGACAGTCCTGGCCCTCCCCTCTTTGCCGCCTCACCCTCAGCAGCATCCCAGCCTGCAGACCAGGCCTTCTATCCTAGGAGGGCCTCACGTTTGTGCAGACCCATACTGCTTGCAGAGGCTTTTCATGCATACTAACGTATTTGAGTTCTTTTGGTGGTGGCAGGATGAGCAGATGTTGTCGAGCACAGAGTTTCTTTTCTTTTTTTCTCGATTTTTAAAAATTTATTTATTTGACAGACAGTGACACAGCGAGAGGGAACACAAGCAGGGGGAGTGGGAGAGGGAGAAGCAGGCTTCCCGTGGAGCAGGGAGCCCGATGCGGGGCTGGACCCCAGGACCCTGGGATCATGACCTGAGCCGAAGGCGGACGCTTCACTGACTCAGCCACCCAGGCGACCCGAGCACAGAGTTTCAAGGGCTAGCAGTGTCCCTGCGAGGGAAGCACGGCTCTGGGGAGTAGATGAGCGAGTGGCCTTGGAGAGCAGGGCGGCTGAATGGGTGACTCTGCAGGCTGAATGGCTTCAGGTGGCGACAAGGCCCAGGGTGTCCCTTGGGAGCTGGTGTCTGCGGAGGAGGAGGAACCCTCCGGCCATCTGAGGTCAGGGGTCACCATGCAGGCAATGAGGCCTCGGAGAGTGGTGATGGGAGCCGGTGGCCAAGCTGCGGTGAAAGGGAGCAAGTCTCGGGATTGCTGGCTGTCAGCACTGCTGAGGGAAAAGGCTGCCCAGCCAGGTAGGTTAGGAGCCTTGCAGGAGCCCGAGTTTTCCAAGAGGCGAGGGGATAAAGGCCAGGAAGCCGAAATGGGAAGGAGGGAGACCGCAGACATGAAGTCTGTGCTGAGGTGTGAGGGCTGGGGGGTGATAAGCCCTCCATTTGAGAGGGCAGTGGGGGACACTGAGATTCACTTGAGGCAGCGGGCGGGAGGGGAACTTGAGAAGTGGTTAGGATATTTCTGATCATCATTGGGAATTCCTGGGAGCTCGTAACAGCGGGGATGGGAGAAGCGTGAGTGTGAAATTTGGGTCAAGTGAAGGAAGGGACTGGGTGGGGGGGGGGAGTCGCAGTCCTTGCTAGTGATGGAAGAGGGATTTGAGCTTTCCGTGGAGTCCCGAATAAATGCTTACTGAGGGTGTGCTGGAAAATCTGATCCTGTGTTGCATTCTGAAACCACAGAGCGCTCAGAATGAAGAGCAACTCCACGTCTGGATGATGCTGGAGAGTTCACCTACTATACCGGCAGCCTGTGGGACGCGCGTTACCGACGATGAACTCTGCGACTCGCTGAAGGTCCTGAGAAGCGTCCGGGCCGGATCAGAGCCCCACTGCGGGCAGCCTTCTGAGCGCACGCTGAATGCGGTGACTGCAGAGTTGCTTCAAAACCAAACCCAACACAGGACCTTCCAGAAGCCCGTTCTTTCTGCACCTGGCCGTGCCCCGCTCTGCTTGGCTTCCGTGCCACGCTTCCGGTGCTCGGGGAGTCTGCGGTTCTCCGCAGCAGGTGCCCACGCCGCCCCTCTCCTCTCTGACGGACTTCGCGGCTCGCAGTAGCGGGCAGCTCAGACGCGCAGGCCCCCGAGTCCTGGCCGAGCGCGACGGCGCTCACTGCTGCGGGCTTTCGGGCAGCGCACAGACCCCCGCATCGCCCGGCTGCGGGCCGGACTCCGGGTAACACGAGGTCGTCTGGCCCCGGCGGGCTCCCCAGCCCCTTCAGCGCGCCGGGCCGGCCAGGCCGCGCACCCGCCCTCCGCGGCTCCCGCGCCCGCAAACCCGCGCGGCGCGCCCCTCCCCGCGTGACGTCACAGGCACGCCCCCGGCGCCCCCGCCTCTGGCCCCTCCGGAAGGACCCACGTTCACCGCGGGGCACCGACGGGGTCGCTCTAGCACGTGCGCCTCAGTGCGCGCACGAGGAGGCAGCCTTGAAGACCCGTTCAGCGTTATCTCGTTTGCTCTTTCCCCCTAATGTTTGCAGGGTTGTGTGGAGCGCAACGTGAGGCTCACCTCGGGGCACTTCGAGACGTCACCCCCTAGAAGGAGAATGGTTGTGTCCGGGTGACGTCAGGCTCTGGGCGGGGCCGGGCCGTTCCAAGGAGCCCCGTAGGGGAGCGTCCTTCGGGCGGAGCCACGCCTTCCGTCGGCGTGCGGCGGCAGGGGGCGTGTCCGCGGGCGGCCCTCTCTGCGGCTGCGCGGGCGCTGACCCGGGTCCCAGCACCGGAGACCTCCTGGACGGCGGCGGGGAGGTGGCCGCATGGCTCCGCAGGGAGACGTCCCGCGCCTGGTGCTGCTGGTCAGCGGGAAGAGGAAGTCCGGGAAGGACTTCGTGGCCGAGGCGCTGCGGAGCAGGTCTCCGCGGGGCGGGGCGGAGGGGCGCCAGGTGGCGCGAGGGCTGGGCTCGGGGTGGTGTCCGCGGGCGTCCCGGAGCAGGTGACAGCTGCGGAGGCGGCCGCCGGGTGGCCGGGCTTCTTGGAGCCTGCAGGGCGGGAGCCCATCAAACCCCAGGACCCCTTCGTTAGGCGCCGGGTTGGGGTACTAGGCAGTAGTAGAGGTCACAGAGGGATCCCCGGACCCAGGACTCAGATCACGCTTTCGTCTGGCTCCCAGGAGTGCGTCCCCTCTGCTCTAGCTCCTGGCCTCAGTGTTCTGTGTCAGCGAGGTGCTGTGGGTGGGAACAGTTCTGCTGGGACGGGGTGGGGAGGGGGCTGGACGAGGTCGTGGGGGGCCCGGGCAGAGGTCGTCTCGGGCTCCCGCCAGGGACCCACCCCCTTTCCCTTAGCTGCATTTCTCCTTGCACCCCACACAGGAGTCAAATAGTGGCCGGAAGCACACTCTGAGCAGTTGCACCCCTGGGGTTCGCAGCCTGACTCCCCACCTGCTCGTTTGTGATCTTGCAGATTACCCATCGTCATCTCATTTTTGTCATCTGTGAAATGGGGATCATACTAGGCTGCTTGTAAGGATTACAGGAGTAATGCATGTGAAGAGCTTAGAACAGTTGTTGGGTCTAGCAAAGACAGCGAAATGGTGGCTGTTAATTTGCATATTCACGTATTGGCGTCAATACTCTTCAGTACTCCGCAGTGTTGCTTTGGGTGGGTCAGTTTTCACCCTCAGGTTCCTCCTCTGAACGGTGGACATAAGGGCACCCGTCTTACTGGGTCAGTGTTGGAGAGAGTCTGTGTCAAGGGCAGGAGCTGTGTGTTACCCGGATCAAAATACAGCGCCCCACGGATGGCTGATGGAGTACACTGAACAAGGGAATGAATGAGTGATTTAGGTTGTGGTGACCACATCCGTGGAGACCGAGATACCCTGGCTGTGGGACAACCAGCGGAAACCTCATCCAGGGAACATTGCCAGTGTCATCCTAACTTGTCTGACTTGTTAGTTTCAGGACTGTTGCACATTCCTGTTTCCTAATAATCCTGTAGGAGACAGAACAGAAAGTGCTATCCCCACTGTATGGGTGAGGAGTTAGGGTCAGGGAGGAGGAGATGTGACAAAGTTACAGAGATAGAGTAGCAGAAATGCGACTCTGGTTGGCTCAGTCAGGAGCGCATGTGACTCTGACTCTTTTTTTTTTTTTAAAGATTTATTTATTTGAGAGAGAGAGAATGAGAGACAGAGAACATGAGAGGGAGGAGGGTCAGAGGGAGAAGCAAGCTCCCTGCTGAGCCCGATGCGGGACTCGATCCTGGGACTCCAGGATCATGACCTGAGCCGAAGGCAGTCGTTTAACCAACTGAGCCACCCAGGCACCCCGTGACTCTGACTCTTGATCTCAGGGTCATGAGTTCAAGCCCCATGGAGTCTACCGAAAAAAAAAAAGGAGAAAGGAGAGGGGACCTCAATGCCCTGGACTGGTCAGGGGGCTGGAAACTAGGTTAACTGGGTCTGGCTCTCCCCGTCCTGCAGACTCGGCGCGGATGTGTGTGCCGTCCTCCGGCTCTCCAGTCCACTCAAGGAACGGTACGCTCAGGTAGGTCGTGGCTCTGTGGCATCTGGGGGGTCGGAGGGAGCCAGCGTATGGGCTTCGGCTGCCATGCTGGTTGTCACGAGCAGGGTCCCTACAACCACTGTCGGCAGGGTGGTGGACAGCGCTCGATTTTTTGTGGCTTGACCGTTTGGGGGCATTTTCACCTTAAGCTTCCGGCCACCTCCCCAGAGTGTGTTCAGGAAAGCGTGTCCAGTAGGGGCCGGAGAAGTGAGTTGCCAGCTCTGAGGCTGGGTTATTAGTGAGGGTCTGGAATTCCTCTCTTAGACATTGAATCACCTGGGGCGTCAAGCAAGATGTAAAACCGGGCACAGAGAGCGCTGCATTTGTATAAAAATGGAGAAAAATCGTAAATATATTTGCTTCTATTTTCAGCCGTGTAACAGGTATTTATGGGGTGCTGGATGTGAGGAGCCAGGGCAGGATATGTAGAGGACTGTGTTGTTGGCTGCCTCCAGCAAGGGGGGCAGTGGCGGAGAGAGATCTTTCACTGTAAACAAATCTGTATCTTGTGAATTTTGAACCATGTGGATTAAAAAAAAAAGAGGGTCATAAAAAAATAAACGGGACCTCTTAGAGCCTTGGCAAAGCCTTGGTTCAGACAGGGAGCCCTGAGGGTGAGACCAGCTTCCCAGACTGTGAGGAGCATTCGTTGCTTACATTTCTGCCCTTGACTTCTGGGTGCTTCTGTCCAGGGACCTGTGCTCACAGCCCCCTGGTCAGGTGGCCTGAGTCTGGCCTTCTGGGGCCACGCAAAATGAATGTCTTCCTTTTTCCATGCATCAGTCCCCTATCCATGGGCAGTATCCTCCTGTACCATTTGATCTTCTCCCACCAGCTAAACAGACCCATTTGTAGGATGGCAGCCTGGGGGACGGGTCCTGGGGAGAACAGGTGCAGGGGTTTTACAGTTTTTTTAGTGGGAACCTTTTCCAAATGAAGTTGGATGAAGAAGTTCCTTGTATCCAGCAGACAGACCAGGAGGGATTCTGATGGGGGGGGAGGGGGGCAGAGGGTGGAGGAGATGGGGCTCAGCCTACCCACTGGGACCTGGGCACTTCGGAGAACCCCAGGGCTCCAAGGAGCAGTTTGAAAACCACTGATCTACTTCCAGAGTTCCCAAATTAGCCCCTGGTCCAGACCTATGAGCCAGGCTGGCATGGGGGTTGGGGTGGGGGTGTGGGCAGGAGTTTTGCATTTTTTTAGAAAGTTTTATTTATTTGAGATAGAGTGAGAGAGAGAGTGAGCACAAGGGGGCTGCCGAGGGGGAGAGAGAAGCAGGCTTCTCGCTGAGCAGGGAGCCTGATGCGGGACCCTGGGATCATGACCTGAGCCGAAGGCAGACGCTTCACCACCCAGGTGCCCCAGGAGTTTGCTTTTTTTTTTTTTTAAGATTTTATTTATTTGACAGAGAGAGACACAGCAAGAGAGGGAACGCAAGCAGGGGGAGTGGGAGAGGTAGAAGCAGGCCTCCCGCGGAGCAGGGAGCCCAATGCGGGGCTCGATCCCAGGACCCTGAGATCATGACCTGAGCCGAAGGCAAACGCTTAACGCTTAACGACTGAGCCACCCAGGTGCTCCGAGTTTGCATTTTTTAAACCTCAATAGGTAACCCATAGGCCAGCCTACCCTTACGTCTCCCACTCCCATTAGAAAACAAATCAGAGGTGCCTCTCTGGCTTAGTGGGTGGAGCCTGCGACTCTTGATCTCGGGGTTGTGAGTTCAAGCGCCACATTGGGTGTGGAGCCTACTTAAAAAAAAAAAAACCACACAAACACAACAAAACCCACCCAGAATGAGTGTTAGTGCATTGTTTTTTTAAGTCACAAAGGGAACTATAATTGAAAAGCAGAACGGAAGGCTTCTGGTGGCCGCTGTTCCCCTGTGCTCAAGAGTACACGGGGAGCGAGTCACCAACAGGAGGTGGCTGCTGGCCTCACCTTGGAGCAGGGCACAGGAAGGTGACTGACCTGCGGGGCCGCGGCCCTTCAGTTTGCAGACTGAAACTGAGTCCGAGAAGGTCTACTGCAGTGAGTTAGCAGAGGAGCTGGAAGCTGCCCTGAGTGACAAGTTTCAGACCCCTTCCTGCCCCGGAGGCCCCTGGGAGGACCCCTCCTGTCCCCCGTGTCCCTGGGGAAGCGAAGGCGAGCCAGGATGGTCCGAGCGGCCCCTCCTGCTCCGGGAGTGCCTGGAGCCAGATGGAGGAGCTGGGAACTTGGGGGTGGGGGGGAGGAGGGAGACCGGGAAGCCTGGGGCAGACAGTGCCAGAGGGGCTGGGGAGGTCGTGGCATGCGCTGTTTTCAAGTTTCTCCCTTTGGTTGAAGGCTAAGCCTGTGCCCAGGGGATGCAGACTAATTTCAGGATTAGTGTAAGCCAGAAATAATTGTGGAGGTAAGCTGTTGCAAAAGAGAAAAACCACATCATACATTTTAAAGACACAAACCAAAACAATTTCTGGATTACCCCGGGCTTTTCTTCCTTCTGCTGCTGTTTGGGATTTCTTCATTTCTAGCGCCCTCCGAGTCTAGGTGGCAGCCTCCTCGTCCTTGCACCGTCCCCGCAGGGGTGGTGGGGTGGGGGCGGGGGGGGACAGCCTTTCCCCCGTTTCAGGAGAGACCGGTGAGGCGGAGGCTGCTAGTGCGGGCACTGTGCTTTGGGCAGGAGCACGGCCTGGACTTCCAGAGACTCCTGGGCGCCAGCGTCTACAAGGAGGCCTATCGGAGGGACATGATCCGCTGGGGGGAGGAGAAGCGCCAGGCCGACCCAGGCTTCTTCTGCAGGAAGGTCGTGGAGGGCGTCTCTCAGCCCGTCTGGGTGAGTGGGCTCGGGGGCGGCCTTTGGACACTCGCCTTCTCCATCCGTGTCTTCACTGGCTTCCCCTCCTGCCGAGTGTCACCAACAGTCTTAGCCCCTGCCCTGGCTTCTGTCCTCGTCCCCTACAGCCCCCTCACCACCCAGCAGCCAGAATGGCCGCTTAGGAACAATCCAAGACAGGTCACTGCTCTGTTGAGAACCTTTGTCTGTCGTTCTGTTGAACCACCTTGAAATCGTAACGCACACTTCTAGGCCTTGAATGATCGGGTCCTGCTGCCCGGTTAGCCTCCCTACTCCTTACGCTGTGGCTGCATCGGCCTTCTCTCCGTTCCTTAAGTCAAGCTCCTTCTGGAGTCAGGGCCTTCGTGGGTGTTCTGCCTGTTGGAGAAGCCCCTTCTTTGCCTCTTCACTGGGTTCACTCTAGCCCGACTGCCATGCCACCTCCACCAGGAAGCCTTCCCTGATACCCAAGCCTTAAGTGATGCCTCCTGTCCGGTGCTCCCATAGCAAGCACCTCACCCCTTTCTGACCTCCTCGTTCTGGCAGCCGGGATTCTCTCCATGTACCTGGCCCGGCTCCCGAAGATCTGGGGGGTACATCAATGTAAACATAAAATGAAGTACCTGCTCTCTGGGCACTTACATTATGACACGGGCTGGAGGGGGTTAGGCCCCCAACCAACATAGAATGCCTCAGGTGGGGATAAATCCTAAGGAGCAAAACTGAGCAGGCCAGGGCTCTGAGGAGGCTTTCCCTGACCTGGCATTGAGCAGGGCCTGCAGGAGGCCAGGGACTCGGCCAAGTGGATATTCGGCGGGGCCGGGGGCGGGGGCGGGCAAGTGGCAGGAGGTGAGGCTGAGACTCGCAGGTGCCTTGGAAGAGTGGGGCTGGGGCTCCCGAGCCACCCGAGGAGGAGAGGCGTGGCTTCTGCGAGGGCCAGGAGAGGAAGTGGAGGCCAGGGCGCGGGTCTTTCCGCACGTGCTCAGACGGTGCTCGGCTGCGGGGACGAGGCGGGCTCCGCGCCGGCTGCAGGGGGGGCAGTGGGTGGCTCCGAGCACCGAGCGCACTGCTGGGCTGGAAGCTGCCCGGTTGGCGCCTGGGCTCCGAGGGCGTGAGCACCGGGTCCGCGCTGCTCCCCGCGCCGGCCGAGCGCCCGCGCACAGCTGTTCACTGGGACACGAGTGTGGAAGTTGCGGAGTGAATGTGTGAGCATCACCAACAGCCGCCGGCCTCTTCATTCGCTGGTCCGCGGACTCCGGGAGGGCGGCCACCCACCACGAACAACCTAATAGATGGTGACGATTTCAGGGTCCTTACTGCTTAGAGGAAGGTACACGGCGTGTCTGGCCTGGGGCAGGGGGGGCAGGAAGGGAGCCAGGGTGGTAGGAAGCCTCCCGTACGAGGGACACTGGGGCAGAGATGTCGCCCGTGAGGGAGCCTGGCCTGCACTTGTCCGGGCAGAGGGGGCCGCGTGCGTCCCCGAGGAGGACGTGGTTGGCGTGTCTGGGGACAGGAGACCAGCTGGTGCGGTGGAGGGAATGCGGGAACATGATGGAAGTAGGTGCCAGATCGTGTAGGGCCTTGAAGCTGGGCATAGGCTTTGGATTTTCTTAGAATGATGGGAGGCCTCTGAGAAGTTTAGGGCAGTGACCTGACAAAATCAGACTTCGGTTTTAGAAAGCACTGGGGAGCAGGGCCCAGTTAGAGCATCTTTGTTTCTGGCCTCAGTCTGTTCATCTGTAAAACAAGTGTGTTGGACCCGCTGATCCGACCTCCAAGCCTGAGGCCTCTCCTTCAGCTCAGCAGTGGCCCCAGAACGTGGCGTGTCCACGGCGGAGCCATGTGGGCAGCGCAGGCTGCGGCGACTGGGAGGGCGGCCTGCATGGGGGGCAGTGGGTGACCACGGGGGAAGGGCGACATCGGTCTGGGTTCGCGAGCCCCTCCCAACCCTGTGCACCTGCTTGTGTGGAGGCGGCCCGGGTCTTCCCACCGCTCCCAGGGCCCTGTGCCTCTGCCCTGTGTCCTGCTGGTCACCTGCCTGCGCTCTTCCCGCAGCTGGTGAGTGACACTCGGAGGGCGTCAGACATCCAGTGGTTTCGGGAGGCCTACGGGGCTGTGACACAGACGGTGCGTGTGGTGGCTTTGGAGCAGAGCCGACAGCAGCGGGGCTGGGTGTTTACTGCAGGTGAGCCGTGTGCAGCGTTTGTCCCCGGCCCCCCGGCCCCGCGCTCCGGTCTGCTCTCTTCCTGGCAGGCTGTGGGGGGCTGAGTGAGGGACTACAGAAGGGGATCTGGGGCCTGGGGCTCAGGAGTGACCCCAGATTAGAGACTGGAGCGGGGTGGGGGAGGGTGTCCCCATGACCTTGGCCTGGTGCCCCTGCTGGGCTGTCCTCTCTAGGCCAGTGGGACCCGCCGCTGGGTCCTTCACCCCTGCTTTCCAGGTGTTTGATGAACAGCGTGTCTGTCGGGGGGCAGGCCTGGGCCCTGCCCTGTGGCTCCTCTCGTGCCTGAGGTCCTGGGACCCAGCGGGCACCCCTCCATACTGCTGCCATGCCCTGGGTGTCCACCACGGCCGGGCCTTTGCTGGCGCTTTTCGCACGATCACACTCTACAGTGTGTAAACCTGCCCGGCAGACGCCTCCCCAGACGACTGAATTGGAGGCTTCACATGATGAAAGCCTCCTGCCCTGCTGGGTCGTCTGTGGTTTCAGAAGACCCATCCGCCCTCCGTGGCCAGTGGCCAGTGTAGGGCAAAGTCCATGGACACTCTGGGGGCCTCCGCTAGTGGTGGGGTGGGTGCGGGTGGCTCTCCGGTGGCAGAGGGGAGGCCGGGAGGGGCGGCTCCGTCTGGGGCCAGCAGGCCTCCATGCCCGGCGTCCGCCCGCATGGCCGGGGCCCGACCTCACCATGCCTCTTGCACAGGGGTGGACGACGCTGAGTCAGAATGCGGCCTAGACAACTTTGGGGCCTTCGACTGGGTCATTGAGAACCACGGGGACGAGCGGCACCTGGAGGAACAGCTGGAGGACCTGGTGGCATTTGTCCACTCCAGACTCTAGCGCCAGGTCCCAGGAGCACCGGCCGCCTCGCCTCTGCTGGACGTGTGGTCCCGACGCTGGCTGAGGCGGGGAGCACACAGAGGGCCTAGGTTTCTGGGGGTCGGCAGATGGCAGACGAGTCAGGACACCCCTGGGGGCCTCGTTTCTTTGTGCAGAGACCGCCCTACCTCTTCAGGAGGAGACGGAAGGGCAGGGGGGCGTCCGCGGTGCTGGCCGGTCAGCCTGCGCAGCCCGGCTTCCCTGTGTGGACGCCCTCAGCCCAGGGCTCCCCAGCGTGGGTACTAATAAATCGTCTCGGAGCACACGCTCAGCTGGACGTCTCTCGTTGCCCGGACGCCAACACAGCTGGTGTGGGGTCCGAAGGGCCGGGGGCTGCCCTGGTGGCTGTGGGCCCTGCTCTGTCTCCCTCCTGGGCTGCCACGTCCTGCAGACGCTGGTTTGCGCCACGCGGGAAGAGGGCCTGTTTGCGTGGGGGGCAGGATTGGGGTCTGAGGTCCTCATCTTCTGGGATGGCCCCACGAGAGGCTCCAGGTGCCACAGAAAGTGCCAGCGGCAATTACCCAGGGGGACGGAGATCCACGGGCTCCTCATAACCGCTGTGTGGCCCTGGGTAGGTCACATCACCACGTCGAGCCTCAGCGTGCCCACATGGGGTTTTGGACTTGACCTGTTTCATTTCATTTCATTTTATTATTTTAAAAAGATTTTATTTACTTATTTGAGACACTGAGCGGAAGAGAGAGGGAACAAGCAGGGGGAGCAGCAGAGGGAGAGGGAGAAGCAGGCTTCCTGCTGAGCAGGGAGCCCGATGCGGGACTCGATCC